TGTTACACGTGGGGTTGCTATGAGGGGGAAGTGATTCCATGGCACTTAGCAACATAGCAATACACAACAGTTCTAGGCAGATATTTGGGTTTATCTGTGGCAGGGATGTTTCTTATCCTGGTGTCACAGATGAGGACCTTGAGGCTTTAATGAGCTACAATGTTGTGAGTACTTGTAACACACCAGCCCTTGATGTGAACTGAGGCCCTCGAAATTGAGTGACAACCTATCAGAATAAGGGGTAATTTGCCACAGGGCTGGAATTTGAAGTAAGATAGAGGGTTCTGGGAACAGATACCCTGATTCTCTGTGCTCTCTTCCTGTTTTCTCTTCTACAGAGGTGAGTGACTGTCCTGGGAACATGTAACACAAAAGGGGTGGGTGCTCCCAAGTCCTTCTTTAGTGCCTTTAGCTCAAGCCCTGAAGAATCTTGCATTTCTGACACAGCTGTTCAGGTTCATGAGGTCTTCCTGAGACTAGTTGATTAATCCTTTTGTGCTTCATTGTTGTCATTTATAAAATGGGACAGTCACTGCCTCATTAGAGTGTTCCAATCAATGGCATCTAGTAAGACCACGGATAAATAATTGCTATATTTCCAATGTAGATGCAATTTAGCTTCAAAGTAGCTGTATTAGAACTAAGCTCACTGTGGAAGTTGTTTCCCACTGCTGACAGTTTGAGGGTTTTCAACTTCATTTCTGCAACCTATGCTCTTGGGTTCTCTACTGAAATTATAATCATGATGAGCAAGTTTTTGTTTTTTTACCTCAAGGTCTATCCCTAAAAAGCAATAGAATTAGGTTTTTATTCTTAAATCTATTTTTGCTACCAATTTTCTTTCTACTTGTCATACTGTCATGTCTTACATGTTGTTATCTTGCCGGAAGCTATGCCACTGGTATTTCATATACAAGCAGGGTTACTCATGGTGGATAGATTTCAGCAGAGCTTCCCATCTAAGACATGTTAAGAAGACCTGGATATCTACTTCTGAAAATTAACCAGTGAAAACTCCACGGATCACAACAGAATATTGTCTAATATAGTGCTGGAAGATGAGCCCTCGTAGTGGAAGGCACCGCCCAATAGCTGCAACAACGGACTGAGACATACCAGTGATCATGAACAAGGCACAGGACAGGGCAACATTTTACTCCATTGGGCATGATATTGCCATGAGTTGGAGCCAACTGGATGGCAACTAAGAACAACAATACAGTTTGGGTCAAATTCAGGAGGAAGGTCAGGAGTGCTGGGTTTCAACCTCACTTTCCTCTGCTTGATGCGCCACTCCTCGGAAGGAAGGCTGGCCAATCTACTTCCGTAGAGATACCGCCTTGGAAACCCAAGGAGGGGTCGCTCTGAGTCAGAAACTTTTTTTTTTTTTTTTTTCTGGTGTGTAAGAACTTTCAGCACTTCATTTCCTCTACATGTAAATATGAGAAAACCAAGAGTTCCCATGTCCATAGGTGGTTTAAAGGGAAAAAAATCTTACAATGGTAAATTCAATATATAGGGTCATGTCTGAAATATAATAAAACTATTAATAAGAAAAGAAGAGCACTGAATTTAAAAAGAGGATTGAAATGAATCCATGGAAAAGAAGACTTGATTAATAATTCAGAATTCACAAATCCTATTATAGTAACGGAGCTCTGGTGGCATAATGCCTAAGGCACTTGACTGCTGACCAGAAGGCTGGTGGTTCAAACCCACCAGCCACTGCTCGGAAGGAAGATTGGGCAATCTACTTCCATAGAGATACTGTCTTGGAAACCCAAGGAGGGGTCGCTGAGTCGCATCTGACTAGACGGCAGTGTGTGTGTGTGTGTGTTTTTTTTAATTATAGTAAGCTGGGAACAACATGATTCATCTTAGACCACTGATTTTCTTTATTAGTCCTTCACCACCACCCTTAGTAACTACACTTGGCCTCTTATAGGGATAATCTCGTTGCTGATAAAATAGAAGATTTTTCCATTAAGTAGGAGTTTGCTGGTGTTACTTACCAGTCATGCAGATGTCTCAATTTTTTTTCTCAAACAACAACAAAGTTCAGAGCTGGAAGGAAGCGTCAAGATCATCTTGTTGTACTCTTTTGTTCTTATACATGAGAAAACGGAGGCCAGAGAGGAAGTTACTTGCTCAGTGTGTTTTCCGGTGGATCTAAGAGTGGATCTCATCTAGCCTGATACCTTTTGTGCTGCACCAGCTCCCAATTCCACCCATAACCACATTACCCTCTCCTAGTCCATATTTCCAAGCACAATTGATAGTCAGACGATTATGTTTCTATTTCTTTGTGTTGAAATACAGAGCACTGATATCTGTTAAATATAAATTTGACATCCAAGGTATCAAAGCAAATTACCTGAGCTTCCTGAGGCTATATCTAGTTACAGGAATTTTTTTTTTCAGCATCAATTTGAAAATATCAATGTGTGTGTGTGTGTGTGTGTATCACTCTCTTCTCTGTGGCCCCTTGCCCCTCAAATTGATGTCATTTATCACTTTCTTCCTTCTTTGGGACTTACCATTTGCTGGGTTTTCTTTTACCAACATGGATCTGAGCCTTGTCTGTAGTGTGGGATGGCTCAGGGGAGGCCAAAGGAAACCCCCTCTTCTGCGGGTTCCCTTCTCTCACCTACTGCCTCACTTGATCTCATGCCCAAGTTAATCAAAGAAGTAGCAGTTTGCCACCTAGTGGTCATTGACCATCCTGCACATTTTAACCCTTGTCATTCAGTAGCAGCACCAGACCAGCAGGGGGCGAAGTGAATAGCAGAGAGGGCCCAGGAGAACAGGTGCCAAAGTGGAGTGTGAATCGTGGTAGCCTCTAAGAATCTGAGACAAGTGAGATAAAAGTTATTTATTATATTCCATGCCATTTAAAATACATACAGAAGTTGTCGGATTTGTTGTTACTAATTTGCTTTATCAAATGGATTCATAATTATACAGGTAAAGCACAAATGCATTCTCATTGTAGAAAATTACTATAATACAGATAAAATGAAAGTTTCCCATCCCTATCTCCTTCCCTAGAAGCAACCACTGTTATCAGTTTATCATCTGTCTTTCCAGATCTTCAGTCTATGCACTAAATACTTATATAAAAATCCTCACAACTGGACCAATGAGCAGCATCACAATAAATGGAGAGAAGATTGAGGTTGTCAAGGAATTCACATTGCTTGGTTCTACAATCGATGCCAACGGAAGCAGCAGTCAGGACATTAGACGATGTGTAGCATTGGGAAAGTCAACTGCGAAGGAACTGTTTCAAGTGCTGAGGAGCAAGGATATCTCCTTGAGGACTAAGGTGCGCCTGACACAAGCCATGATATTTCCAATCGCCTGGTATGCATGTGAGAGCTGGACAATGAATAAGGAAGACCGAAGAAGAGTTGATGCTTTTGAGTTGTGGTGCTGGTGAAGAATGCTGAAAGTACCGTGGACTGCTAAAAGAACTAACAGATCTGTCCTGGAGGAAGTGCAGCCAGAATGCTCCTTGGAAGCAAGAATGGCCAGACTTCGTCTCACCTATTTTGGTCATGTTGTAAGAAGGAACCATTCCCTGGAGAAGGATGTCATGCTTGGTAGGGTGGAGGGTCGACGAAAGAGGGGGAGGCCTTCAACGAGATGGATTGATATGGTGGCTGCGATGATGAGCTCAAGTATAGCAGGGATTGTGGGGCTGGCGCGGGATCGGGCAGTGTTTCGTTCTGCTGTGCATGGGATCGCTATGAGTCGGAAACGACTCGATGGCACTTAACAACAACAACAACAAAACCTAGACGTAGTAAGGGTTTTTTTTTTTTTCATAAATGGGACTATGCTGTATCATTTTTATAGCTTTCTTTTTTCACTCAATACATTTTGAGCTGTCTGTATAGATACATGTGTGTGCAAATACATGTATATTATTTCATTTTTTAAAAAATTATTGCCTGGAAGTATTAGATAGGAACCTTAGGAGGCAGTGAGTTTATGTTAACAGAGGAGGATCACCTCTGAAACAGAGGGTGAGAATGGTTACACAACTTGAAGAATGCAATCAGTGTCACTAAATTGTACCTGTGCAAACTGTTAAAGTGGTGTGTGTTCTGCTGTGTATACTCTTAACAATGAAATCAATAAAATTCAGGGAAAAAATGATTGCCTAGGATTCCATCAAATGAATGTTCCATGTCTTATTTGTAATTCTTCTGTCCAGACTTAATCGGCTCTTAGTTTTCTTATGAAAACAGTGAAATCCTCAAGATTCTGTTTTTCTCTTGCACAGATCCTTAGCTATGAAGACATGCTTACCCGCACACACACACACATTCGGTTATTTAAAAAGATAAAACCAGAGTCAGAGTGGAGGCTTGGTGCCACATGATTTTGGGATTTCGCAGTCAGTAATAATAGGCTACTGTGGTCTGGCTGTCAGCTGTACCGGAGGGAGGATGCTGGTGATGTGGACACCCAGCTACGTCCACATACCTCACAGCTGCGGTCAGCACAGTAGCGCATTTGATGCAAAGTCAAAACCACCAGGGCACTGACACTCCAGTGTGTGCTGAGGAGGAAAATTCTTTACTTGTTATCAACCGGGATGGTGTGACCACTGCAGGCAGCCAGTAGAATGAAGAAAGGATCGGAAGGAGCAGGCTCGAACAGATTCTGATTGGCAGATCTTTCCAGAGCTGCCCTTTAGAGACCGTGGTCTGTGGTGGAGTGGTTTTGATTTCTCCTGTGTGATGTGTTCTCTATTTTTGCAGTCGGCCGCCCAATCCCTGTTCAACAGACTCTGTACCCAACCCCCGAGCAGATTGAGGAGTTGCATCAGACCTATATGGAGGAACTCAGGAAATTGTTTGAGGAGCACAAAGGAAAGTATGGAATCCCAGAGCACAAAACTCTCCGTTTCAAATAATCACGCTCTCAGAAGGCATCAGGGAGGACAAAAGAACATTCTAGTGAGAGAATGAGTATCTAAAATAAATTTATTTTTGTTTTTGATTGTGGCATCAAATTTATAACTGAAAAGTATTGTGTATGGTGGCAGATTTGATGTTTTATCTGTGGTAAATAAAAATACCGCCGATGATTATTAGATAACGTGGGAGAGGACTAGAAAATTGTTAATACTATTCCTTATTTAGGAAGGAAAAGGTTTAGCATTATTCATGCACTCCCCCCAGAGTTACAGCTTCAGAAACAATTTGCTCCTTACATGTTTTAGAACACTGAAATTTCCTAAAGCTTTTCTTGGCTTTAGTTTTCTTCCCAAATGACCCCTTTGCTGTAAGACAAATTACAGCTTCAAAACCAATTTGCTCTTTTTACTCAACCTCACTCTAGTTTCAGGCGGTGTTTTCACTAAATACGTCGGCTGTTGTTCAGCACAACTGGAGCATTTAAATGGTGTGTGAGACAATTTGCCTTATAGGGCTAGGGGAGATTACCTTCTTTGTTTTTTATTTTTTGCTTGAAGAGACCATTTGTTCGTGAATAATATTGCTTTAATACTTAAAAAATTGGATCCTTTAGTTACTGCCAATCAATGCATTTTTAAACAATAGTGCAGAATTTTTATGCAGTTTTGGAGAATGGATAAATCTGTCACATGGAAATACATGTGCACAAGAGCATATGTCTTCATTTTCATACATGCTAAGAATTTTGTTCATTTGCTGTAGATGAGGAAGTCTATTTGGAAAACATGCTTTTGTACATGTTTTGGAACATTAAAATTTCATAAAGCTTTTCTTGGCTTTGAGTTTCTTCCCAAATGACTCCTTTGCTGTAAGATAAGTTATGAAAGAAAGCGCCTCCTCTGGTCAGATGTGTCCTGTTCAGAGTTGCCTTGGCTTATGTAATTCTTCTCTGAAGGGAGATGTTAGCTCCTGCACAGGGGACCTTAGCTCTTCCAGTCAGGGCTTCCCCAGTGCCTGGATCAGCTCATGGCACGTAAGCATACAATAAGACTTTAATGAATGCATTTACAGATGAACCCACAGTCAGCATTGGCCATAAGGCTAAGAATCGTTAAAGTAATACCATAGGATGAAACTTGTAACGAGACAAGACTTAATTTCAGAAGGAGATAAATTTCCCTGTTTTCTGGCCTGCACCAGTAATCTACAGTACTATAGGCTGGTTCGTCCAGAACAAGTCAGAGTGAAATTTCCAACAGTCACTAAGTGTTAAGTAGTTGGTCAGTAAGTACGTAAGAATGTGGACTTTCCAAATGCTCTCCGTTGCCAGATGTTTGATCCTGTGCCTCTCCTGCTCTAGATATTTGTAACTTCAATAACTGCCTTCACTTAATTGACATATTACTTACTATTAATATGTCTTTAGGTCTCTGATTTTTAAAAACATTAAGCCCTGGGCAGAAGCCAGGATTGGGGTCAGTTATAGCAAAACAAAATTGTACTGGATAATGCCTTGAGTAGAAGTGTGTCACGTACAAAACAGTGAGCCTTCTCCGTTCTTTTATAGGTGGGCTTTCGGCTGTAACCCTTTGGCTTCACGCTAGTTGAGCAATCCAGGAGTCCATTGACCCATGGTCTTAAAATTAGATCTTTTTATTTTTGTCAAATCGGGGAATAACCCAAACCAAATCAAACTCACTGCCATCGAGTTGATTCCGACTCATAGCGACCCCCATTGGGTTTCCAAGGCTGTAAATCGTTAAGGAAGTAGATTGCCCGTCTTCCATCTGCAGAGCAGCTGGTGGGTTTGAACTGCTGACCTTCTGGTTAAGTAGCCAGATGCCTTACCCACTACACCACTAGAGCTCCTGTAAATCAGGGAATAGGACACATGTATCTTAATAAATGCAGAAAATTAAACTCTAAGGTCTTTTCTGGTGTTAACTCAATACTGCAAAGTGTAAAAGGAGCAGCATTTAAATAGAGTGAGAGCCCAGCTTGTCAGGGGTCAGTCTTTCAGATGAAAGCTGTGAAGCCTGAGTAACCTCACAACTAAAGATCTTTGTTATAAAAATCCTTGTTTTAATTTCTTTGGGGAAGCTTAGTAGAGACCCACAACACAAGAGTTTTTGTCAATTTCACAAAGGTATAAATTTTAATCTCCTACTTAGTACTGAGGGAGCTCTGGTGGTATAGTGCCTAAGGCACTTGACTGCTAACCAGAAGGCTGGTGGTTCAAACCCACCATCCACTCCTCCGAAGGAAGGTTGGGCATTCTACTTTTGTAGTGATACCGCCTTGGAAACCGCAGGAGGGGTAGCTGTACTGAGGAGCTCTGGTAGCCTACTTAGTACTGAAGGGGACACCACCCAACCTCAGCTGGATTATCTTGTAGACAATTAAAGCCCAAAGCAGGGACACTAAAAAGTAAAAGAGTTCTGCTCCAATGAATTTACCCAGAATTTTGCCATTAAAGAAATTTGTTGTTGTTGTCAGGTGTTCCGACTCATAGTGACCTGACATGCAACAGGACAAAATACTGCCTGGTCCACTGCCGTGCTGGAAACCTGGACAGAAGAAACTCCATTTCCAGCACACGTGAAATCTTATTTTAAATATATTTGGGGGTTTGTCTCTTCCCTTCTCAGGGGCTCCAAAGGTCTTAATCCAGCCATACCAGAAAACTTTTCATATGTTCAAAGTTCCTTGTAGTCCTACAGAGTGAGAAAGAATATATATTTTTTGAACCTAGATGCTTACTAATGATAAATGAGAGGAGAAGCTTGCCTGAACAAAGGCTAAACAGTCAAGAAGGAGGTCCAGGAAGAGAAAATTCTCCTTAACATGGCAAACCAAATGCCTCAAGACTAAAATTTTGATGATCCATTTATGGAATATAACTAATTCCCATATTATGAAAGGTTTTTCTTTCTTTTAATATTACAATTAGTCCTTTGGATGTTTTCATATAACATCCAAAGCTGAAAAAGAATTTTGTATAGGAATTTTTACTGCAACACAAACATAGGCTGTGTATTTTATGCCCTGGCGTGGTTTGATGGAGATTTCCTTTCTTTGCAAAGTTCTCATCTACGGTGCGATGGCACGTCATTTTAAACAGCAGGACAAAACAGAACAACAACAAAAAGGACCTAGGAAACTCTAAGTGGAACTGAGTCTAGAGTCTGGAGGAAATGTGCGTTTGTGCTGACTGAGTTGGAGTTTCTTCCTGCTCTGTTGTCCTTGCCCCCCGGCTTTGGACTGAGTCATTTCCTTTGTCTTGCATCTAGAAGTCTGTGGAGTTGTCTATAACCAGCTTGCTCTGTTATGCTCACGCTGAAAGTGGCAGCTTCCGTGCTCATGAAGGATAGCCTGCTTTGCTCTGTTCCCACAGAAACCAGGGCAAGGGAAGCTGGGTAATTGAATGCAAACCTTTGACCACTATTATGAAAATAAAGTGTGTGTAGCTCAGGGATGATGGGCGAGCCTTTATTATCTGCAGAGTTGAAGGGAAAATTCCTCCTTGCACTAGAAGTTATATTTTCATCATGGGAGGCTTATGAGGTACAATTGGGCTGCCTGGTAATGTGCTTTCTTAATTTTACATATTGTGATAGTTAAGGTCATGTGTCAGCTTGGCTGTGCCATGATTCTCAGTAGTTTAGCAGTTGTGATGTAGTCATCTCCCATGATGAGGTCTCTGATATAATGTAATTAGCTGCATAAAGAGATCTGCTATGAGTAGCCAATCAATTGAAAGGGAGTTTCCTCAGGGGTGTGGCCTGCTTCCAACGTATATGGATATCCTGGCAAAGATTTCTGGTTTTTGCTTGATCTGGATCCTTCACCTGGCTCCTTATCATCTGACCTCCAGTTCCTGGACTTGAACTAGCGGCCTGCCATATTGCCTGCCAATTTTGGAATTGTTGCCTTTGCAGCCTGTGAATCAACAGCCTGCCATCTTGCCAATGTTGGATATGAAACCAGCAGCCTGTTGTATTGCCTGCTAATCTTGGGTTTGTCAGCCCCTGCAGCTATGTGATTAAGGAGAAGCCTCCAGCTTGACATCTGACCCATGGACTCAGGGCTTGCCAGCCTCTACAACTGCATGAGCCATTTCCTTGAGATAAAGCCCCCCACTCCCCACATATATAAACATTACTGATTTTGCTTCTCTAGTGAACCTAGGCTAAGACACAGATCTTCCGAACTACCTCACTGATGCAGAGACCAAAGTTTGTGATAAATGTGAAAACAACTTTTGGACACATTAACTCTGCTTTCTTTTCTTCTGACAAGAGGCAATGCTGACGGAATTTGTTGATTGATTAATATATTACCAATAATTCAGGATTGCTAATTCTCGTATTTGTGTCTTTGGAAACTGAAGAATAAAATGCCTATTTTAGGGTTGAGAGAGTTACTTCAAGTAGACTCCTTACATCTTTTGAAGGAGAAAAAAAGTAGTGTACTTCTAAAATAATGAACCAGTTGATTTGGTTTCTCAGGGATGGAAAACATAGAAGTAGTTTTTTATATTTGAAACAAAAGAATGTTTCTAGTCCCTTATATTTTGGATATTTTCATTAATTCTTCCCAAATACCTCCAACTTCATGCCGTAATATCTTGTATGAGAAGAAAATTTTCAGTCAGCCCATAATTAACCTCAGGATGATGAGTTCTGCTAAAGCTGAATCTAGGTTTTGTTTGCATTTTGATACTCACTCCCAGAGAGCAGGCCTTTCACAGTCTCCTAATAAAGGCAGATGGCACTGATCTGGGAATTTGCTGGATTTGTCACAGAAGTAAGCTTGGTGAGAGGGGACTTTGTAGTCGGACTAGTTCTTCCTTCTGCACCCCAGCAAAGCTCACCACGAATGGCAACTAGCCCTGTGTTCGTAGCTCACCATGAATGGCAACTAGCCCTGTGTTCGTAGCTCACCATGAATGGCAACTAGCCCTGTGTTCGTAGCTCACCATGAATGGCAACTAGCC